CGTGATTCCATTTTGGCATTTATCATTGCTGGGAGCGGGCTCATGAAGGAGCCTCCCCTGGGGTGGATCGGGAGGCTCCTTGGCAGCACAGGGCACAGCCAGCTCCCCACGGTGGCCCATCTCCCGTGAGGACCAGCCCTTCGCAGGACCCCAGGACACAGCACTGCCCGGTCTGGTCCCCCCTCGCCTCGCGGTGCAGGCTCCTGTCTCAAGGGGGAGGTTCAGCCCAGGCTGCAGCTCTAGGCAGAGCTTCTGGTTTCTCTTCTTGGGCAGGGTTGAATCCAAAAGTCAGGCTCTCATGACTGGAGCTAAAAGCCAATTAGCAGCAGTTTAGCTTCATCAACTTGCTGACTGAATGCAAGTTTTAATTAAACATCCCATTTTAATTAGTCAGGCATCACATACAGAGGTTGCCTCAAGATTCAGAGGCCGTAGGTCTTATGCTTTAATTAAAAGAACGCAGCGCATGACTTCAGCATCTGTGACAGCTCCTCGTCCTTTTGAGGGTACAAGCAGGATAGCTGGGAACAGCATCTTTCCTTGCCGTGGCTTATTCCTCTTCTTTTACCTATGGATGCTCCAGCAGAGGAACTGGCTGCAAGATGACTTGGTTGGAAGGAGAGAAGAAACAGGAGCTGGTTGCAACACTTGGGATGTCACAGCAGGTACTGGGCTCTCAGTGTAATGCCAAGAGCTCTTTTGGGGCGAGTTTTCTGTCCTGGGGTGACAGGGAGCACCTAGCCCATCTGTGGCTGTCATCTGAAGCCTCGGGTGCAAATGGCCTTTGAAGCAGGCATGGGCTGCAGTGGAGGAGGTGGCTTTCACAGGGCACGCACTTAGAATCATCAAATCATTTAGTTTGGAAAAGACCTTTAAGATCTTTGAGTTCAACCATAAACCTTAAGCTGTGAACTCTCTTGCTCTCCTAGGACCTTGGGGGTGATAGAAAGCTTATGTTGGTCCATGAGGAGAGAGGACAGTTCTGTGGAAGAGGAATCCAAGGGGGTTTACATGGGCTACGTGAAAGCCATGCCAGCCTCACAAGGTTGCTGAGCTGTGAACTGCTGGGGGCTGGAAGAGCGCCGTCGTACAGGAGGTGCTGCAGTGGAGTGCATGTTTGGCCTGACCTTGGGCAGGAATGTCCTTTCTTCGTCTCGTTTGAGTTCGTGACTTTTCACCACCACACGCGAGCTCTCCTGCACGTGGGAGCAGCCCTTGCGGGCTGGGGGCAAGCAGCGCAGAGCTGCACAGCTCCTGGGCGGGCAGGGGCACGGGGAGAGGGGCTCGCAGTTGGGTTTTGGCTTGCGGAGGAGCCCCCCTCTCCGCTGAGCAGAGAAGGGGACTGGCGTCTCTCCCAAGTACTCCAGGTGCCTTCTCTGGCATCAGAGCCTTCAAGCGAGTTGGGGTTTGAAACAAGAGCGACCGTTCCTTGCTCTTGTTGGTGGCCAATGCTAGCCAACTTCAGGTTTCCCCCGGAATGCCAGATGGAGCTGTCACACAGAGCCGGCTCCACAAATCCAGCATCCAATGCCAAGCAGGACCCACTGCCTCCTAAAATAACAGGCTCAGCTCCCTCCTCACCACAAGGTAAACCTGGAGGCCCTTCATTGCTGGCAGCTGGGTTATACAGGAGGAGAACCAGACCAGCTCCATCCAAGAGCCCGCCTGGGCGAAGTCCTGTGTAACATGCTCTAGGAGAACCTGCTTTAGCAGGGGGGTTGGACTAGATGATCTCCTGAGGTCCCTTCCACCCCTTGCCATTCTGGGATTCTGTGTGAGAGGCGATGCGGAGTTTAAAATGGTGCTTTTCTCCATTTCTTGGAGCCTGCTCAGCCCTGCGGAGGCACCAGCCTTCTGCACCCGACTGTGCTCACCCGTGCTCTGGGACAAGGGAGAATCAGAGAGTGACAGAAATCCCTTTGTCGCTGTGCCTGGGAAGAAGGGTTACAGAGCTATTAGCGAGCACAAAGAGGGGATGGATTCTCTCCTGAGTTCTCTGGGGACGGAGATTTAAATGCTTAGCCTCCCATTAATGCTAATGTGAATTACAGAGGTCTCTTCTTACTGCCTTGAAACAAGAGCATTGAAAAAGAGGCCAGCTCTCTGCAAAGAACAAATTCACTCGATTTTAAGACACCACTAAATGGGATTTTCTTCATTTCACACTCATTAATTCCCCTGCCTGGGCTGGCTGGGAGTGTGACTCTGCTCTGGTCCAGTCCGTACGAGCTGGCTGGCCCCCTGCATGCTGGAGAACGCTAGATCTCCATCCACCATCCCCTGCTCTGCGAGGGGACAGTGGTCCTCAGAGCGGGGCTCCTGGCCCCGAGAGGCCCCCAAAGATTTGTTTCCACACGGAGATGCAAAGTGCAACGTTCCAGCATTTTTCAGGGAGGGGAAATTCCTCCAGCATGTGTCAAAAATATTAACAGCATCTTGTTTCCCGGTACAGCAGCTGTAGGAGACAGGGCTTGAGGTCCTTCCAAGTCCTCCTGAGCCTCCATCTCCTGCTCCCTCCATGTAGATCGCACGCTTGTGGGAAACGCGTGACTCTGCCTTCCATGTCCGGTGATTAAATCCTTCTCTGACGTGACCGGTTGCATTAAAGCTTAGGTTTGCTCCAAGGGTCATGGAAGGTACCTGTAGAATTTATGGACCCAATCAGTCATTTAATTTCTCTCTGCAGCCTCTGACTTATCAACATAATAACAGAAACCAGGAGGACTTTGTTTTTCTGTGGCGTATGAATTACGTTGTCACTGCGCCTGCAGCGCAGCCCTTAATGAATATATTCAGGCACGGCCGCAAGTCCCTGCGCACATTCCCATACGCGCTCCGTTGTCGTATAGCATTAATTAACCTTGTTTAATGGGCTAATCGTGATGGCTTGCAGCTCTCACTCCCCAGCAGGGTGACTCTTGCCGTAAGCAGCAGGGATGCAGCGGGAGGGCTGGGCAGATGTTCTCCGTGTCGGGGACGAGGGACGGGGCAGGGTGTCTGCTGTGCACCTCATCAACCTGATGATGGTCAAAAAAAAAAAAAAGTTTCCCAACTAGTTCGTAAACCTGCCTCTTGCTCGCAGACGCTGGTGGCACCGAGAACGTCTCGAGCAGAGGGAAGGGCTGAGCTGAGGAGGGGGATGCAGCGTAAGACCTCGAGGAGGGAGGCTCTGAAGGAGATGGACCATCTTTTTGTGGACTTTTTGGGGCTGGGCCATGGAAGCCGTCGTGCTGTGAGTCTGGGGGTGGCTGGGGTGAAGGAGCCGCACGGGGACAGTGCACGCTGGCATGCTGAGCTCTTATTTATACTTGAAGAGCACATTTCCCATTGGGAAAGCCTCAGTTACGTTGATAAGAAGATCCCCTTTCTGAAATGTATGTTGATAGAAAAAAAAAAAGCCTTAAAAAGACTTTATTCAAGGAAAAAACCCACCGTGCTGCAATTTTAATGAGGAGCTTGTAAACATAACAAACTCCCGCTGATTTTCTCTATTAATTGCCTGCGTTATCGAAGACGTTCAGTTCTCAGCAAACCACCTTGCCGGGCTTAAGACGTCTTCCTAAATCTGGGTGGGCTGGAGCCGTGCGTGGGCTGTGGAGGGCAAGCGTGGGGCAGGGCGGCGGAGGCTTTTGCAGGGGCGCAGTGGAGGGGACAAGGCAGGGCTGGGTCATCCCGGCGGTGTGGGGGGCAACGCGGCGGGGAGCAGCTCGGGCTCCGACCTCGGCTCTCCTCCAGCCTTCGCTCGGGGAGGGGAAGGAGGAGGGATGGGGAGGCCCTGCTGAGCTGACTTAGCAACCCTATTTTTATTAGAGATGCATTCGCTGATTAGCTCCACATCCTAACGACTCGGGGACGATAAATTACAAAGGAAATGCAGAAATCACTAGGGTTATATTAACATCTCCCGGGGAAGCAGCAGTAAGGTCATTTTCTGGGCCATTAAATGGTTGCCATTTGTTTGTTCCCTCGTTCTCTTCGATAGCAATTCTTTTTTTTTTTCTCAATTTCAGCCCCGCACCATCTCAGCGGGCGCTGCGCTCCGTTGACCTCGCATCCCTTCTGCACCATCACTCCCTTTGCTCCCCTCTCCCGGCGCTGGCGGTCGGGGGAGCATGGCACAACAGGGCAGGTGCCAGCATCCTGACCATGGGAGGTATGGTCACCTTAGGTTTTTGGAGATTTTGGGGACATCAGCCATCTTCTGGGTCCCCTTTTTCTGTCTGCCACAAAGAAAGATCACACCTCAAAACCTGCGTGGCGTTTGCAGGCATTTTGCAGCCCATGAAAGAGGCAAAATCTCTCCCAGAGGTAAATGGTCACGGGTGATTTGCCTAGCTCTTAATAACTCTTCCTGAAATCACAGCAAAAGGGGAAGATTCTGGAGTTAATGTTTGGAAAGCACCAGGAAAATGAAAAAGCACAAGCCATGATCATTATTATTACCGGGTTATGCAGCTCAGCTCGGCACGGGCTGGAGCAGGCTCTGGGTGTGCAGGCATGATGCGTGGTGGTGGAGCACCCTGCTCTACCTTAGCTTTCAGGAGGGATTGGGAGATTTTTAGTCTGGTTCGGGTGGCCTGACCCGTGCCCTTTTGCTGATCACCCTCAGCAGACATGGGTCAGATCCTACAGGATTTTTGGTGTCTGGCTCCCTGGAGAGCACAGATCCCGGGGAGGTATTGCCTGGCTCGTTTTGAGACCCGGGATGGATGTGGCTTGTCTCTGATCACCCAGGGAAGCCTGTGGAGGAGGCAGACACTGAATATCTGCTTCCCAAACCCAGGGCATCCATGATGACGGCTCCTCCTCCTTTTCCTCTCCTTCACGCTCAGGGCGGCAGAGGCTGGACACCTCGTGGGTTGCTGAAGGCTGCACACCCCGGGTGGGCAGCGCTGGTCTGCAGTCCATCCCCAGCCCAAATCACACACGCATCAGCTCCTCCAGCACAAGGGTGAGTCTAGGACATGGAAATGACCCTGTTCTTTCTTCCCCCCCTGCAGAGCCAGCTTTCCCAGGCCCTCAACGGCTTGTCAGACAGAGCCAAGGAAGCAAAAGAGTTCCTGGTCCAACTCCGCAACATGGTGCAGCAAATCCAGGTACTGTGTCTCCTGGCAGAGGAGCAGCCCCTTCCCATGGGAATGAGCTGCTCTCTGCAATCCTCTGCCCCATCTCCCCGGCTTGGTTTGGTGGGTGCCTCTCCCAAAGGGGCCCACAATCAGCACCTGCCTTTTCCTATTACCCCCCGCAACCCTCCCAAAAACTGCTGCTCCCAAAGCTGCCTGTGCCATGGAGTGAGCAGCAGAGACCCCCGCCCTTCCCATCTCTGCCATAGGCAGATCCAAGGATGTGGCAGCATGGACCAAACCTGTTCCTCACCTGCCACCACCACATTTGCCATGAGCCAAAGGTGTAAGCACCCCACGTGCTAAGGGTATGGATTTGTGCGTTGCAGTGATGCAGATGCACGTACAAAAGTGGCCCATGTGGTATCATAAAAAAAACAAAAAACAGGTTTCCCAATTGAAATGGAGATGTACCCTGGGCTGTGATGCTCTGCTCTGCCCCGCAGGAGAACAGCGTGGAGTTCGAGGCCTGCCTGGTGGCCCAGTGTGACGCCCTCATTGACGCCCTCAACCGAAGGAAAGCCCAGCTGCTGTCCCGGGTCAACAAGGAGCACGAGCACAAGCTGAAGGTGAGCCCTTACCCACCGGCTGGGGTGGGCAGAGAGCTTTCTGCAGAGTTGGCACCAAATAGGGACGAGGACCATGATGCTGTTTGTTGGGGTGAAGCGCTGAGGGAGGAGAGGGGAGGGTCACTGGAAAGCCACTCGCCTGGCTTTTCACGTTAGCTGCATTCCGTTTTGCTGCAGGTGCCCAACCCGTTCCCAGCGTGATGGACCCTGAGCAAAGCGCTGCTTCCTCCAGGTGGTGGTTCCCACTGAATTACCCCATTATTGGGCCAAACAGTAGTCATTAGGTCATGTGTACAGCATCCACAGGCTGGAAACGGACCTCGTTCATGTTCCGTGTTGCTACTGGATGGTTCTGCAGGATGTTGAGTGCCTGTAACTTCTGCTGGCTTCAGCTGAAGTCCTGGGGTACTTGGTGTACCTCTTTCATCCTCAGGCAGGAGCAGGGATTGCTCTGTTTTCTGTGCTTGGTGAGCACCTCGTGGCCCCAAGGTGATGCTTGCACTGAGAGAGGTGACTTGTTGGCACTGGGGGAGCTGAGATGCAGCTCTAGATGTGAGCGTTGAGGTCAGCTGTGAAAATGGGCTCCTGGCTTATGTCGTTCCTGCAGTTCACTACACCGTGTCTTTTCAGCTGGTTTGGGGCTGAGAAGGGAAGCAAAGGGCCAAATCTCACTGGGGACTGGTGGAACGGGCATAGCAGTGCCCAGTATCTGTTGGACAAGGTAGTTGCACCCTGACCATCGCTGATACAGGTCAGCTGAGGGATTTGACACCAACATCATTTCGTGTTTCCAGTGTCCCTCTTCCAAGGACATTTCAGTGTTTGGGCTAGAAGCACCTGTATCTCCTCTCTGGCTCCACTTGCATCCCCCCAGTCTTGCTTTGGGCCATTCAGGAGGCTCGAAGGGGATTCCTGGACTTGCCTAAAATGAGGGAGAAAGCCACCAGTCTCCGTTCTGCCTGCACCGCAACACGAGGGCTTGAGAGTGTTTCCATCGGGAGATGGACAATAGCAGTTTTGTGGGACCAAGCCCAGCACCAGTGCTCGGTGTCTGACAATAAAGCTCAAGCCCAAACAGCCATGCCACGCTGCCAGCCTGTCTTCTAGGCACAGAGAGGACCGTCACTGCCTGGTGGGCTCTCTTTCCCTGTTCCCCTTCAGGGCACGGTTAATTAAACTCTCACAAAGCTGGGCAGCACAAAGCAATTTCCCTGCTCAGCACAACCCACGGAGGCCTTTCACTTTTTGGCTGGAGGAAGGGAACTGCATCCCATTGCTTGCCCTTACCATATTGCCTGTCCCCCCAACAGGTACACACGTACATCCCACCCCCATCCACCCTTGATACCAGCTGGGCTTTGTCATTAGGAGGCCTGACCCTTAAAAGAAGAAACAGCCCCTGGGTTTCAGACAGGACTCTGTTAAAATCAGCCCTCGAGCCTCCCTCCCTGAAGGACCAAGCTCTTGCAGCTCCCCACGCGCCGTGGGAAGGGCATGGGCAGGAAGGGCTCCGTGGCACATGAGCCTCCATCCAGTTAGCAGCAGCATCACAGCAGCTGGTGTTTAACATCCAGAAGCTGCTCCCTTCTGCTCTGCAGCCTGTGGAGTGTTGGTCAGATTTTTAGCCTGAAATGACTTGATTTTCCCATTCAATTCTTGGCAGGGGGACACAGATGACGGGGAGGTAAGTAATAAATGTAGCTGTGCTGCCTTGGCCTTAGCCTTGTACGGGGAGAGTCACACAGTGCTGACCCACCCACGTGCCAGCTAGGGTCTTGCACACTGAGATTTGCTTCCCAGGGCTTCAGCATCGTCAGGCTGGGACACGCAGCCTCAGCTCACAGCCCAGATGCACGCACATCCTTCCCCTCTGGCTTGGGGACAGGGACGGAGAGGGTCTTGCCCGCTTTCACAAGCCGCAGACAGGATGGGATGCAGGAGAGTCTCAGTCCTGTTGGGTACCTCCCTGCTGTCCTCCTTGTGCATGCACAGGGTCCCCCAGCCACACCAGGCCACCGGGGTGAGTGTTCACCACCAGCCCTGCAGCCTGGTCCCCTGCGCCCCCGTCCCTGGCACTGCTACTGTCCCCATGTGCTCTGTCACCCAGGGGAAGGGGCTGCCCAGGTCATTGCCACGTGGGGCTGTTTCCCCTTTGCCCTCTCCAAGGAACCCCCTGGGCAAAGGAAACAGCCTTTAGGATGAGAGGGAACAGCCTCAAGTTGTGCCAGGGCAGGTTTAGGTTGGACATTGGCAAAACTTCCTTCCCCAAAGGGCTGTCAAGCACTGGAAGGGGCTGCCCAGGGAAGGGGTCGAGTCCCCATCTCTGGGGGGATTTAAAAGCCGGGCAGATGAGGTGCTTAGGGCCAGGGTTTAGTGGTGGGATGGCAGGGTTAGGGGAATGGTTGGGCTTGATGATCTTAAAGGTCTTTTCCAACCTGAATGCTTCTGTGATTCCATGAAAGGCAGCACCTGCAGCCCCAGCTGGGCGCAGACTGGGCCGGCCTCGCTCAAAGGGTCAGGGGAACGCAACGAGACATGAATGGGAAGCAGCATTGTGCCCGGAGCAGCTGCCTCCCGATGGGACATCCCCCCCCTGCCAGAGGCTGGGGCTGGCTGGGGGGGATAACAAAGCCCCCAGCTTTCTCCCTGCGGGTCTGGAACACTGGAGGTGTTGCAGAAGGAGCAGGAATCCTCCGGGGTGTCAGGCAGGGTGTGCGGCAGAGGGGCCACCTCCCTCCCCACCACTGCCCGCCCCGTCTGCAGCAGCACAGAATCATAGAATCATGGAATCATTTAGGTTGGAAAAGACCTTCAAGATCATCAAGCCCAACCGTTCCCCTAACCCTGCTTTTCCACAGCCTGGAGAAGAGAAGGCTGCAGGGAGACCTGATTGCGGCCTTTCAGTACCTAAAGGGGGCCCATAGGAAAGATGGGGAAAATCTTTTTAGCAGGGCCAGCTGTGACAGGACAAGGGGTGATGGTTTTAAACTAAACCAGGGTAGGTTTAGGCTAGGTATAAGGAAGAAATTCTTTACAATGAGGGTGGTGAAACACTGGAACAGGTTGCCCAGAGAGGGGGTGGAGGCCCCATCCCTGGGAACATTCAAGGTTGGACGGGGCTGTGAGCAACCTGATCTGGTTACAGGTGTCCCTGCTTCTGCAGGGGGGTTGGGTTGGGTGACATCTAGGGGTCCCTTCCAACCCCAAACATTCTATGATTCTATGATTCTAAACCCTGGCCCTACGCACCTCGTCTCCTGCTGCGTGCTTGGCGCTGTCTCTTTCTACACATGCCCTGGCACTCACTTTGCACTGAGTTTGGACCCACGGTGAGTCCTGCTGCAGGGCCGTGGGGCTTCTCCTGGCTGATGTTCACATGAGGACAGGACAACATTGGCTGCTGGCTTACAGTGAGAGCTTCACCCCTTCCCACAGGAGGCCAGCCCAAAGCATCCTAGCCTGGCCTGTGTGTCCACTTGAATCATAGAATAGAATCATAGAATCACTTTGTTTGGAAAAGACCTTTAAGATCATTGAGTCCAACCTTTAACCTAACCCTGCCATCCCACCACTAAACCCTGTCCCTAAGCACCTCATCTATCCTTCTTTTAAATCCCTCCAGGGATTGGGGACTCGGCCACCTCCCTGGGCAGCCCATTCCAGAGCCTGACAACCCTTTCAGTGAAGAATTTTTTCCTAATGTCTAGCCTAAAAACTTGCCACTGCCATGTCCCCAGAGCAAGTCAGCTGAGGAGGTGAGACTTAGCTGTGCCACCCAGGAACCCTTTCAGACCCAAACCAGTTGCTCCAGCAGCCGGCACAGAGCCGCAGCACCCTGGCTGCAGCCGATCCCTCCCGCCTGCTGGGAGGTTGCCCATCATGGCACGGAATGGCACCGTGTAAGTGAGGAGGAGAGGCACGGGGGGACAGAGCCTGCCGGCTGGCCCGGTGCCATGGATGCCTTTTGCTGGGGAGCCCAAGTTCCCATTCCTGTGCGGCGCCCGGAGTTGAGCTTGGCTCAGCTTCAGGATTGACCTGCTTTGGCTTGACACATATTTCATGGAGGCAGGCACAAATCCAGGTCTGCCTGTGGGCCAACACTAATTGCTGCGAAGGGAGAGAGGTTTGGGAGGAAATGAACTTGGGAGGGACGTTTCCCTGCCTTTCCCCAACCTCCCGCTACACTTGGATTCAGATTAAGAACACAGGCTTTAAAAAATAACATCTGGAGGAGCAGTGGGGCCAGGTGCCCGCTCCACCTCTAGGACAGACTTCCTTGTCTGTCCTGCTCCTCATCGCTGGCCCTGGTTTTCAAAGGAACAGTATGGTCTTCTCCAAGGGAAGATGCCCTACAGCCCAGGTCAGTTTGAGCAGGGGACATAGAGGCTTCCCCGCAGTGTTGTCCTGGGAAGAAATCTCTCCTTAGTCCACAGAACACATGGACTGAGCTCTGTGTGCACCTCCTTTAAGCTTTGACAGTGTGGTGGACAATTCTGACCTTCTTCTGGCCTTCAGGTCATGGGGTGCCTCTGCTCTGTGATTTCACCATGGTGCTTTGGCTGCAGAGCCCTTGCAGGCAAATGGCGGTTGTCACGTTTACCCAGGGAGCTGATTATATAGGAAACTGTCACCAAGGGCTCCTGTCCGTGGCACTAGATCTCCAGAAATGAATTGCTGGTCCATGACCCTTCTTCAGGGGTTACAGTCAGGATTTTCCAGGAAGCCCAAGGGAACTTGGTGTCCCCCATTGGATTAAGTGATCAGGACTGGTGTGAAAGGATGAGAAACAGGACAGAAGCACAGGTTTTGTTTCCTGTACCGTACCATTTCTGTACGGAAACACCAGATAGGATGCGCAGGTCAGGTAAACTCATCACGAGGTGTGTTATTTCCTGAAGATGCAGATATCAGACCGCTGCTTTCCTTACAAATCCCTCCATACTCTGCACTATTTTCTCCATGCTGCGATGTCTGTGGACCTTGGGAAGGGCATTGGCACC